AAGGTCTGATGGCGTAGTGGGTTAAAGCATACTAGTTATGCCAGCTACTGGAAGGTAGTTGTGCTTTCTGGGTTCGAGTCCCACTGGTGGGTGTTGTCCAAAGATTGTTTATCTTCACTTGTGGTTTATGCAAGTATAGGCTTATAAGCTGGACACGAGTTCTCTCACATTGACAGTGGCTTGACGAAAATTGCAGACTGACCCCTCACTCATCTGGTGCCTTCGGGAGGTAGAGATGTTTGAGATATATATATCTCGAACTATCTACTTCTTTTGTAAGGTCTGATGGCGTAGTGGGTTAAAGCATACTAGTTATGCCAGCTACTGGAAGGTAGTTGTGCTTTCTGGGTTCGAGTCCCACTGGTGGGTGTTGTCCAAAGATTGTTTATCTTCACTTGTGGTTTATGCAAGTATAGGCTTATAAGCTGGACACGAGTTCTCTCACATTGACAGTGGCTTGACGAAAATTGCAGACTGACCCCTCACTCATCTGGTGCCTTCGGGAGGTAGAGATGTTTGAGATATATATATCTCGAACTATCTACTTCTTTTGTAAGGTCTGATGGCGTAGTGGGTTAAAGCATACTAGTTATAGCTACTGGAAGGTAGTTGTGCTTTCTGGGTTCGAGTCCCACTGGTGGGTGTTGTCCAAAGATTGTTTATCTTCACTTGTGGTTTATGCAAGTATAGGCTTATATATATACATATATATATATATATACATATATATATATATACATATATATATATATACATATATATATATACATATATATATATATACATATATATATATATACATATATATATACATATATATATATATACATATATATATATACATATATATATATATACATATATATATATATACATATATATATATATACATATATATATATATACATATATATATATATATATATATATATATATATATACATATATATATATATATATACATATATATATATATATATACATATATATATATATATACATATATATATATATATACATATATATATATATATACATATATATATATATATATACATATATATATATATATATATATATATATATATACATATATATATATATACATATATATATATACATATATATTATATACATATATATATATATACATATATATATATATATATATATATATATACATATATATATATATACATATATATATATATATATATATATATATATATATATATATATATATACATATATATATATATATATATATATATATATATATATATATATATACATATATATATATATCATATATATATATACATATATATATACATATATATATATATATATATGTCGTACCTAGTAGCCAGAACTCACTTTTCAGCCTACTATTCAAGGCCCGATTTGCCTAATAAGCCAAGTTTTCCTGAATTAATATATTTACTATAATTTTTTTCTTATGAAATGATAAAGCAACCCTTTTCTCTATGTATGAGGTCAATTTTTTTTTATTGGAGTTAAAATTAACGTAGATATATGACCGAACCTAACCAACCATACCTAACCTAACCTAACCTATATTTATAGGTAAGGTTAGGTTAGGTAGCCAAAAAAAGCTAGGTTAGGTTAGGTTAGGTAGGTTAGGTAGACGAAAAAACATTAATTCATGAAAACTTGGCTTATTAGGCAAATCGGGCCTTGAATAGTAGGCTGAGAAGTGCGTTCTGGCTATTAGGTACGACATATATATATATATATATATATATATATATATATATATATATATATATATATATATATATATATATATATATATATATATATATATATAGAGTGAGATCATTTTATGACAACTTGCACTGCACGTGACATTGCATCCTTAAATAAGATAACCAATAAGCATTGATGCACCCAGCTGGCGACCTCAAACTGCCACCAACGGATAGCAGTTTGATGCATCAATGAGTATTAAGGCCAGCCCTTAGCCGACTGGGGGAGCCCCGGGGTGGACAGTGGCGCCAGGAACTCAGCAGTAGCAATGATAGTTGGAAGGGGGTGCCTAGATTTTGATCTCAGGGACTCTATGACCTGGCACTTTCCTTCATGCATCAAACTGCCACCAATGGGTGGCAGTTTGTTGCACTTATTTTTTTTTTCTGCTGGATTTTTTCGGTTTTCGGTTGATCTCTGATCTTCAAGCTCCCCTTGCCTCAAAGACATGTAAACCCTGCTCCTTGTTTCTAGTAGACAAGGGGAAATCTCAGGGGTTGGGGGCCATTTCTTAAGATTGAGCAGTACCAGAGCTTAAGCTCCTGGAGCTACCGAGGATGGGGGACCCTCCGACCTGATAAACAATTTTAAATGTGTAATTGTTAAATATCTAATAAATTTTGAAGATAAAAACTAAAATGTATAAACATTTTAGTTTTACACCACAATTTACGTGATGGTTTTGTTTTCCAGAAATGGTTGCCGACAGGAAACCATACTAGTTAATTACCTCTTCTCTCACTCTTGGGGTGACAACCATATTGACTTCTTTTAATATAACTCCACCACGAACTGCCCACTTGGGTCTTACCACACGCTTGATGACTCTGTCACTCCACTGTCTTGCTTGCAACCTGGGAAAAGATATACTTTAATCAGTATAGCTGTGATAATATTAAAACATTTCACTTAAATATACAAATAATGAAAGTCATTACAGTCAAGTCATAACAGCATTAACGACATGGTCAATGGAAACTGTTGCCAAGTTAAATAACAACCTATACAGAGAGAATTGATACACTTACAGCACATCCATCTACATCTAGCAAGTCTTCAGCAACAGTTTGATCTTCTAGTTTGAATACTTCTTCAGCCTTATTCACTGGCACATATATTTCACCCAGATATCATGTCACTTTAGTTTTATCCTAAATCTAGTTTCCTGAAGTTACAAAGTAGTATGATAATTTCACATACTATGTAATATAGTAGTTATAATGCAAATATAACTTCTGCATCGAGCTTGTTTGAATATTCGGAAATTCTCCACAGGCATGCAGGAAATATCAGTTGTGTGATCAATTAAAGACATGATAACATTTGCATTTGAAAATGAAGGTTCTTGCATCAATCTATTGCTCCCTCAAGTAACATTATGCTCCTGCCAAGGTCAGTGCTGCATTCCCATCTCAAGTGCAGCAGGGAAAAGGAAAATACCAATGACTCAATCCAGCTATGAATGACCGACTCTCGGAAAATAGCACTTTCCCCCTGATAGTTCCCTTCTCAGAAAATAGATTAATCTACACTCAAAACACCACCACCAAGCAATACTTAGAATCAAAGATTAGCAAGCATTGCTCTGTTATTACTAACTATCTGTCCTGCATGTTAAGAGTGCACAGTGAAACACGGGGGCCCACCAGGCCTGGTGAAACATGGGGGCCCACCAGGCCTGGTGAAGCACAAGGGTCCACCAGGCCTGGTGAAGCACGAGGGCCCACCAGGCCTGGTGAAACACGAGGGCCCACCAGGCCTGGTGAAACACGAGGGCCCACCAGGCCTGGTGAAACACGAGGGCCCACCAGGCCTGGTGAAACACGAGGGCCCACCAGGCCTGGTGAAACACGAGGGCCCACCAGGCCTGGTGAAACACGAGGGCCCACCAGGCCTGGTGAAACACGGGGGTCCACCAGGCCTGGTGAAACACGAGGGCCCACCAGACCTGGTGAAACACGGGGGCCCACCAGGCCTGGTGAAACACAGGGGGCCCACCAGGCTTGGTAAAACACGGGAGCCCACCAGGCCTGGTGAAACACGGGGGCTCACCAGGCTGAGAACATGAAGGTACATATACTGGGAACAAAGGTACAAAGGCAAAGAACACAAAGGCACACCACAGAATTCACTAAGGCCAGGCCTGCCACCTAAAACGCATCACAAAGACCCTGAAAACCAGCAGTGGAGCTGGTCAGAAGGAAGATCTGGCAATTCACCTGCAAGGTGGTGGTGGTGGTGAAGGAATCCAGCTCACATGAGAATGGATGACCTCAAAGACATCCATGCAGAACAAGGTACCCCTTTATGTCGGGCATCAGACTCCACAATAGGCAAAGGACCAATTGCCCTATACCTCTTTTCCTGGGGAGGAAGTGTCCAGGAATGGAAGAAACATCCCCCTCCAGACAAAGGCAAATCCCAAGGAAGAGAGAAAGTATCGACCAAGGAAGATCCCAAACCCTGGGAATCTGAGTCCCATTGCACATACCTAAGAAATTAAGGGGATGTGAAGGCTCTGCCATCTCAGTCAGCAACCCAGATGGAGCAACCCACCAAGGATTTCCCTGCACAATCTCGCAACCATCTGAGTTTGAACTACCGGTCCAAAGCTGCTTCATGCATGAACCAGTGGGGAAGGCTGAGCAACCAAATAAACAGAAGCTGGTTGGACAAGTTCCCAAAATGGAAAATAAATAGGTGCCAAAAGAGTAAAAAGCTAATCTGGCACATGTGTACAAAATCAAATGACGCTCTTCCTCCACATCAAGGGCCATTGGGGGTTCTCTATTCAGATCCAAAAGTGAATGCCAAAGGCAGAACTAGTATGCCTGGTCCAACAGTGAAGCCACCACCTGGTTAGCGACCAACAAGGAGGGTGGCTCTGTTGAAGCTGAGGTCCAAGAGAAATTCTCATATACTCATGGGCAAAAGGACTTCTAACAGATTGAGTAATGGAGAAGCCAAGTGTTCATTAGAGGCTCTAACACACTGAAAAGGCATAATTCACCAGGGTTATGTGGCCACTTACGCTACCCAAGTGCAACCTATGCCGAAATGTAAGGAGAGCGAGTTCCAAGGGCGAGCAAAATGTAAGGGCACACTAGCAAACTGCTAGAAATAAATGCACTCCAACAGGCCTTACAGAGGTATCAAAATCAAACCCTATACTCTACCAAGAAATTGGATACCTCAAGAGAAAGCCACTCATATGAGATAATTCTAACTGTGCAGGGAAGATAACCTTGGCAACAAGCACCAGAGCAAACTGTCAACTAACTCAAGGAACACACAAGGTGGATGGTACAGAACACACAAATCAGAATAGGGCACAAACCCAAGCAATGGTCCTTATCGCTTGGTTCTGTGACCTATTGTGACTGACCTATTGTTCCAGGGATAGTCAACATGTCTTCTCTAAGACAAAAAGTGACAGAGGGGCCCAGGAGTGGTTCCCCCCCCCCCTGGTCATGCACCAGGTTTGGTAATTGCTAAGCATAACAAAGACCGTGGATCACCTGGGCTGCCATCTAGTGGCAGGCGAGTATCTAGGTGGTTATTTCACTGAAGTAACAATTGTTTGCATTATTATCATCAGGGTTATAAAATTTTCCAAGCAGTTGCTTAGTTTGAAGCAATTTGGCTTTTTGGTGGATCTTTTGCTCTGATCCTCAGACTCCTTTTTGGGTCTAAGTGTGCCAAATTCTGGTCCAGTCCTCTGGAAGGTACTAGTGGGTTCAAGTCCTAGTGAGTTTAAAGGCTTGACTGCTTCCAGACTGTAGAATCTGGAAGGTACTGAGGGGGCCCTTCATCAGTACCTTCTTCAATATACGTTCAGATACATACCTTTTAAGTTCCCTTAATTCCATATTCAGTAGTCATTTTCCTGGTCTAATTATTTTTTTACACTATATACAAATTTTACATTTGTATAACTTACACTTCATTCAGTATGGGCTTGCCATTTTCTGTTCGATTTGTGAGAGGATTCCCATCATCATCTCGATAAAATGCATACAGGGAAATTGAAAAACCCAAAGCATGAAGAATCTCGTGTTTGACCGTAGATATAAGAGTCTCCAGCTCTTGGACCTTAGTACTGATGGCTCCCGGACAAAGGTTGGCATGACCAGCAATCGGCCTGTGAAAATAAAGTCATTATTCACTACAGTATCTCAATCATAAGGCATGTTGCCTTAATAGATTTTATTTATTTATTTATTTATTTTATATTATATATATATATATATATATATATATATATATATATATATATATATATATATATATATATATATATATATATATATATATATATATACAGTATATATATATATATTATTATATACACAGTATATATATATATATATATATATATATATATATATATATATATATATATATATATATATATATATATATATATACATATATATATATATATATATATACATATATATATATATACATATATACATATATATATATATACATATACATATATATATATATACATATATATATATATATATATATATATATATATATATATATATATATATATATATATATATATATATATATATATATATATATATATATATATATAGACATACACACACACACACACAAAAGATAAATCACGACTGTTGATACTGGGGGATTTCAACTTTAGAGCAATAGACTGGGAGGCCTATGAAGCAAGAACGGAGGACTTTTGGACATGCAGATTTGTGAACCTCATTCTGAAGACATTCTTGTATCAACACATAAAGCAAGCCACAAGAATGAGGGAAGGAGATGTACCGTCAGTACTGGATCTAGTATTCACCAGGAAAGAAGAAGAGATTTTTGACATCCAGTACCTTCCTCCCTTGGGAAAGAGTGATCACGTCCTGTTAGACATTAAATATGCTTTAAGATATCATCTAGAAGAATATGGGGACATTGAAACAGTTGATAAACTCGATTTAAAGAGAGGCAACTATGGGGAACTTCGAAATTTTTTTAATTAGTGTAATTGGACAGAACTGTTGGTAGGCAGGGAAGTAAATGAAATGTATGCCAAATTTTTAAAACTATACGCGGAAGGCACACAAACATTCATACCAAAACAGAGATGCAGGACCAGAAAACAGGATTGGTTCGACAGAAATTGTGAGAGGGCAAGAGACCAAAAGACACAAAAATGGAATCAGTATAGGAAGAGGCCAAACCCCCAAACATACCAGCGATACAAAGATGCGAGAAACAACTATACAGCAGTAAGGAGAGAGGCAGAAAGAAATTTTGAAAAAGGGATAGCAGATAAATGTAAAACAGAACCGGGCCTATTCTACAAATTCATAAACAACAAATTGCAGGTAAAGGATAATATCCAGAGGTTGAAAATGGGAAACAGATTCACGGAAAATGAAAAGGAAATGTGTGAAACATTAAATGAAAAGTTCCAAAGTGTGTTTGTACAAAATGAAATCTTCAGAGAACCAGACACAATAAGAATTCCAGAGAACAACATAGAGCGGATAGAGGTGTCTAGAGATGAAGTGGAAAATATGCTAAAGGAGCTCGGGAGGAACAAAGCAGCTGGCCCAGATGGCGTTTCACCATGGGTTCTGAGAGAATGTGCATCTGAGCTCAGCATTCCACTTCACCTGATCTTTCAGGCATCACTGGGTACAGGAATCGTAGCAGACGTGTGGAAACAGGCTAACATAGTTCCAATCTACAAAAGTGGCAGCAGGGAAGACCCCCTCAATTATAGACCTGTATCATTGACAAGTGTAATAGTGAAAGTATTGGAAAAGCTAATCAAAACTAAATGGGTAGAACACCTGGAGAGAAATGATATAATATCAGACAGACAGTATGGTTTTCGATCAGGAAGATCCTGTGTATCGAATTTACTCAGTTTCTATGATCGGGCCACAGAGATATTACAGGAAAGAGATGGCTGGGTTGACTGCATCTATCTGGACCTAAAAAAGGCTTTCGACAGAGTTCCACATAAGAGGTTGTTCTGGAAACTGGAAAATATTGGAGGGGTGACAGCTAAGCTTTTATCATGGATGAAAAATTTTCTGACTGATAGAAAAATGAGGGCAGTAATCAGAGGCAATGTATCGGAATGGAGAAATGTCACAAGTGGAGTACCACAGGGTTCAGTTCTTGCACCAGTGATGTTTATTGTGTACATAAATGATCTACCAGTTGGTATACAGAATTATATGAACATGTTTGCTGATGATGCTAAGATAATAGGAAGGATAAGAAATTTAGATGATTATCATGCCCTTCAAGAAGACCTGGACAAAATAAGTATATGGAGCACCACCTGGCAAATGGAATTTAATGTTAATAAATGTCATGTTATGGAATGTGGAATAGAACATAGACCCCACACAACCTATATATTATGTGAGAAATCTTTAAAGAATTCTGACAAAGAAAAAGATCTAGGGGTGGTTCTAGATAGAAAACTATCACCTGAGGACCACATAAAGAATATTGTGCAAGGAGCCTATGCGATGCTTTCTAACTTCAGAATTGCATTTAAATACATGGATGGCGATATACTAAAGAAATTGTTCATGACTTTTGTTAGGCCAAAGCTAGAATATGCAGTTGTTGTGTGGTGCCCATATCTTAAGAAGCACATCAACAAGCTGGAAAAGGTGCAAAGACATGCTACGAAGTGGCTCCCAGAACTGAAGGGCAAGAGCTACGAGGAGAGGTTGGAAGCATTAAACATGCCAAAACTAGAAGACAGAAGAAAAAGAGGTGATATGATCACTACGTACAAAATAGTAACAGGAATTGATAAAATCGACAGGGAAGACTTCCTGAGACCTGGCACTTCAAGAACAAGAGGTCATAGATTTAAACTAGCTAAACACAGATGCCGAAGAAATATAAGAAAATTCACCTTCGCAAATAGAGTGGTAGACGGTTGGAACAAGTTAAGTGAGAAGGTGGTGGAGGCCAAGACCGTCAGTAGTTTCAAAGCGTTATATGACAAAGAGTGCTGGGAAGACGGGACACCACGAGCGTAGCTCTCATCCTGTAACTACACTTAGGTAATTACACTTAGGTAATTACACACACATACACACACACACATACAGATACAATAAGAATTCCAGAGAACAACATAGAACACATAGAGGTGTCTAGAGACGAAGTGGAAAAAATGCTCAAGGAGCTCGGTAAGAACAAAGCAGCTGGCCCAGATGGCGTTTCACCATGGGTTCTGAGAGAATGTGCATCTGAGCTCAGCATTCCACTTCACCTGATCTTTCAGGCATCCCTGTATACAGGAATCGTAGCAGACGGGTGGAAACAGGCTAACATAGTTCCAATCTACAAAAGTGGCAGCAGGGAAGACCCCCTCAATTATAGACCTGTATCATTGACAAGTGTAATAGTGAAAGTATTGGAAAAACTAATCAAAACTAAATGGGTAGAACACCTAGAGAGAAATGATATAATATCAGATAGACAGTATGGTTTTCGATCTGGAAGATCCTGTGTATCGAATTTACTCAGTTTCTATGATCGAGCCACAGAGATATTACAGGAAAGAGATGGTTGGGTTGACTGCATCTATCTGGACCTAAAAAAGGCTTTTGACAGAGTTCCACATAAGAGGTTGTTCTGGAAACTGGAAAATATTGGAGGGGTGACAGGTAAGCTTCTATCATGGATGAAAAATTTTCTGACTGATAGAAAAATGAGGGCAGTAATCAGAGGCAATGTATCGGAATGGAGAAATGTCACAAGTGGAGTACCACAGGGTTCAGTTCTTGCACCAGTGATGTTTATTGTGTACATAAATGATCTACCAGTTGGTATACAGAATTATATGAACATGTTTGCTGATGATGCTAAGATAATAGGAAGGATAAGAAATTTAGATGACTGTCATGCCCTTCAAGAAGACCTGGACAAAATAAGTATATGGAGCACCACTTGGCAAATGGAATTTAATGTTAATAAATGTCATGTTATGGAATGTGGAATAGGAGAACATAGACCCCACACAACCTATATATTATGTGAGAAATCTTTAAAGAATTCTGATAAAGAAAGAGATCTAGGGGTTATCTTGAGGTTATCTTGAGATGATTTCGGGGCTTTAGTGTCCCCGCGGCCCGGTCCTCGACCAGGCCTCCACCCCCAGGAAGCAGCCCGTGACAGCTGACTAACACCCAGGTACCTATTTTACTGCTAGGTAACAGGGGCATAGGGTGAAAGAAACTTTGCCCATTGTTTCTCGCCGGCGCCTGGGATCGAACCCAGGACCACAGGATCACAAGTCAAGCGTGCTGTCCGCTCGGCCGACCGGCTCCCTACTCCCCGAGTAGGGTGGTTCGAGATAGAAAACTATCACCTGAGGACCACATAAAGAATATTGTGCAAGGAGCCTATGCTATGCTTTCTAACTTCAGAATTGCATTTAAATACATGGATGGCGATATACTAAAGAAATTGTTCATGACTTTTGTTAGGCCAAAGCTAGAATATGCAGCTGTTGTGTGGTGCCCATATCTTAAGAAGCACATCAACAAACTGGAAAAGGTGCAAAGACATGCTACTAAGTGGCTCCCAGAACTGAAGGGCAAGAGCTACGAAGAGAGGTTAGAGGCATTAAATATGCCAAAACTGGAAGACAGAAGAAAAAGAGGTGATATTATCACTACATACAAAATAGTAACAGGAATTGATAAAATCGATAGGGAAGATTTCCTGAGACCTGGAACTTTAAGAACAAGAGGTCATAGATTTAAACTAGCTAAACACAGATGCCGAAAAAATATAAGAAAATTCACCTTCGCAAATAGAGTGGTAGACGGTTGGAACAAGTTAAGTGAGAAGGTGGTGGTGGCCAAGACCGTCAGTAGTTTCAAAGCATTATATGACAAAGAGTGCTTAGAAGACGGGACACCACGAGCGTAGCTCTCATCCTGTAACTACACTTAGGTAATTACACTTAGGTAAGTGTGTGTGTGTGTGTGTGTGTGTGTGTGTGTGTGTGTGTGTGTGTGTGTGTGTGTGTGTGTGTGTAATTACCTAAGTGTAATTACCTAAGTGTAGTTACAGGATGAGAGCTACGCTCGTGGTGTCCCGTCTTCCCAGCACTCTTTGTCATATAACGCTTTGAAACTACTGACGGTCTTGGCCTCCACCACCTTCTCACTTAACTTGTTCCAACCGTCTACCACTCTATTTGCGAAGGTGAATTTTCTTATATTTCTTCGGCATCTGTGTTTAGCTAGTTTAAATCTATGACCTCTTGTTCTTGAAATTCCAGGTGTGTGTGTGTGTGTGTGTGTGTGTGTGTGTGTGTGTGTGTGTGTGTGTGTGTGTGTGTGTGTGTGTGTGTGTGTGTGTGTGTGTGTGTGTGTGTGTGTGTGTGTGTGTGTGTGTGTGCGTGCGCGCGCGCGTGTGTGTTTAGCCTACATGAGGGAAGTAGATAAAGGCACATCATGTCAGCATATCTTAGAATATAGGTGGTGTATTGGGTACAAGTCGATGTAATGCAATAAGTGTGGGATGCAAGTGTGCGCGTGGGATGCAAATGCATGTGTGGTATATATATGTGCATGTGGTATGTAGTAATCTGCTCAGTCAGCAGATTACAGAACCGACTAGGAACGAGAACATGCTGGACCTCATATTCACGAACAATGATGAGCTAATCAGAGACATTACTGTCTCAGACACTACGTACTCGGACCACAAGCTCATTGAAGAGCAAACATTAATAACGGTAGTAGGTCCATGAGAAACAGCAAGCGAGAAGGGTTATTCAATGAATTCAATTTTCATAATAAAAGGATAGACTGGGAGAAAATAAACAGGGAACTTACAAACATTCAATGGGAAGATGTTTTTAATAAAAATCCTACACAAGGACTAGAAAACTGACTTCTGAAGCCTATGAAGTCTGTCTGAAACATGTTCCTTTTGAGGAAAGCCAGAAAGAGGTCCAACGTAGAAAGAGAACGCAGACGACACTACAAAAGAACAAGAAAATTAACGGAAATGCTTAAGCAGATACGACTTTCCATACAAATTAGTAATAATTTAAATAGGGAGATTGGAGAAATCGAGCAGAAATTGAAAAACTCATGTCTGACTGAAGAAAGGTAGTTAGAACAGAAAGCAATTCAGAAAATAAAGAAAATACAAAATACTATTTCACATATGCGAAATCAAAAGCAAAAGACATCACTACTGACCTGTCAAGAGCTGCCTCTTGTTGACAGTGGGCGGCATAGGCTACTGTGTAGCCTCTCTTGCAGCGCTCAGTCTCTAGTGCGGAGATGTAGAAGACAAAGTCTGCACCCGGGATACCTTCTCCTTCTTCCTTGCTGGTCACGCGACAGTTCTGGCCCAGAGTGTTGCACACGCGGCAAGCCTGTCATCACAACAACACACAACTACAATATCCACTCTATAAGTAAAATGACAACTTGTGAAAACAATATATAATATAAAATAGAGCAATTAATATAATGAAACAGCACTGGCAGAACCCACAGTGGCTTTCCTTACCTTGCGGGTTACCTTGCCTTTATTTCGGGGATTAACGTTCCTGCGGCCCGGTCTCTAACCGGGCCTCCTAGTTGATGGAGTGGTCAACCAGACTATTGGAGGTGGCAACTAAAGGCACGGACGTATTAGGGCCACTAGTAATAACCAGGCCTCTGGGTACAGTCAATGGCTTATAGACTACATACACCCAGACTGTGAGGCAGTGAACAACAGTCTGGACCATGAATGAAGCCTTGTGACACAGTCTACCTCCAGGTGCCACAGGTAACACTCCTGGTTGTACCACTACCACCACCACCACCAGGTACCTGTCTGGGTCACTGAGGGCTGGGCTCGCTAGTCACTCCCTCACTCCAAGAGCTCAAAATTTAAAGGAAACAAATGGTGGCATTTCATCACATTAATAATAATAATAAAAGTTAAATGTTAAGAATAGACCACTTAAAACGAGACGATATATGGGTGGAATATATATACAAAGACATCTTAACTTTAGATATTAAACTTCTTTTCAAGCGTAATGCTAGTACAAAATACAGTAGAATTAAACAAGATGCCAGAGCCATCCACAATTTTAAACTTAGGTATGATAGGATAAATTTATTCAAGTCGGGAGTCACAGCAATAGCTGAATTAAAGCTGGTAAGGTGGGGTCAAAAAGCTGAAGCTTGATCTTGCAGCTACAAACAGGCAACTGCAGGAACCAGTGAAACAGCAGGCACATTGAGCAGGCACAGTGAGCAAGCACAGCACAGTACAACACTTGTACTGACCAACCACAGTGGCTGACAGTGTACCACACACCTGCCTGGGGGAACACATGGCTGTCTACCACCAGAATAATAAAGTAATGCCAGGAGAGGGAGAGTAAGAAAATAAACACTTGATATGGACAAATTCCAGTGGGAAGAATATCCATGAATAATGTTAAAGTTATATCCACATTACACTTAGATATTATGCCCACTGGGAGAGGGTGGAGGGAAGGGAGGGGGCAGGACTGTAGTAGTGGTGGGGGGGGGGGACAGTGATGGCAGGACTGTAGAAGTGGTGGGGGACAGTGATGGCAGGACTGTAGTAGTGGTGGGGGGGGGGGACAGTGATGGCAGGACTGTAGAAGTGGTGGGGGACAGTGATGGCAGGACTGTAGTAGTGGTGGTGGACAGTGATGGCAGGACTGTAGTAGTGGTGGGGGACAGTGATGGCATGACTGTAGTAGTGGGGGGGACAGTGATGGCAGGACTGTAGTAGTGGTGGTGGACAGTGATGGCATGACTGTAGTAGTGGGGGGGACAGTGATGGCAGGACTGTAGTAGTGGTGGGGGACAGTGATGGCAGGACTGTAGTAGTGGTGGGGGACAGTGATGGCAGGACTGTAGTAGTGGTGGGGGACAGTGATGGCAGGACTGTAGTAGTGGTGGGGGACAGTGATGGCAGGACTGTAGTAGTGGTGGGGGGGGACAGTGATGGCAGGACTGTAGTAGTGGGGGGGACAGTGATGGCAGGACTGTAGTAGTGGTGGGGGGGGACAGTGATGGCAGGACTGTAGTAGTGGGGGGGACAGTGATGGCAGGACTGTAGTAGTGGTGGGGGACAGTGATGGCAGGACTGTAGTAGTGGGGGGGACAGTGATGGCAGGACTGTAGTAGTGGGGGGACAGTGATGGCAGGACTGTAGTAGTGGTGGGGGACAGTGATGGCAGGACTGTAGTAGTGGGGGGGACAGTGATGGCAGGACTGTAGTAGTGGGTGGGACAGTGATGGCAGGACTGTAGTAATGGTGGGGGGACAGTGATGGCAGGACTGTAGTAGTGGTGGGGGACAGTGATGGCAGGACTGTAGTAGTGGTGGGGGGACAGTGATGGCAGGACTGTAGTAGTGGTGGGGGACAGTGATGGCAGGACTGTAGTAGTGGTGGGGGACAGTGATGGCAGGACTGTAGTAGTGGGGGGGACAGTGATGGCAGGACTGTAGTAGTGGTGGGGGACAGTGATGGCAGGACTGTAGTAGTGGGGGGGACAGTGATGGCAGGACTGTAGTAGTGGTGGGGGGACAGTGATGGCAGGACTGTAGTAGTGGTGGGGACAGTGATGGCAGGACTGTAGTAGTGGTGGGGGACAGTGATGGCAGGACTGTAGAAGTGGTGGGGGACAGTGATGGCAGGACTGTAGTAGTGGGGGGGACAGTGATGGCAGGACTGTAGTAGTGGTGGGGGGACAGTGATGGCAGGACTGTAGTAGTGGTGGGGGACAGTGATGGCAGGACTGTAGTAGTGGGGGGGGGGACAGTGATGGCAGGACTGTAGTAGTGGTGGGGGACAGTGATGGCAGGACTGTAGTAGTAGTGGTGGGGACAGTGATGGCAGGACTGTAGTAGTGGTGGGGACAGTGATGGCAGGACTGTAGTAGTGGTGGGGGACAGTGGGGTACAGTGATGGCAGGACTGTAGTAGTGGTGGGTGGTGGGGGACAGTGATGGACAGTGATGGCAGGACTGTAGTAGTGGGGGGGACAGTGATGGCAGGACTGTAGTAGTGGTTGGGGGGGACAGTGATGGCAGGACTGTAGTAGTGGTGGTGGACAGTGATGGCAGGACTGTAGTAGTGGTGGGGGACAGTGATGGCAGGACTGTAGTAGTGGTGGGGGGACAGTGATGGCAGGACTGTAGTAGTGGTGGGGGACAGTGATGGCAGGACTGTAGTAGTGGTGGGGGACAGTGATGGCAGGACTGTAGTAGTGGTGGTGGACAGTGATGGCATGACTGTAGTAGTGGTGGTGGACAGTGATGGCAGGACTGTAGTAGTGGTGGGGGACAGTGATGGCAGGACTGTAGTAGTGGTGGGGGACAGTGATGGCAGGACTGTAGTAGTGGGGGGGGGACAGTGATGGCAGGACTGGAGGACGAGGACTCACGTGAAGGTGTTCCTCAGGGACCTGGACCTCGCCGCACATGGTGACGGGTTCACACCTACTCTTGCAGAAGGGGTGAGGTTCGCCCTTGATCAAAAACACCTGGTTCTTCTCGCACCTCCTGCAACACCACCAAACACAACCATTAACACCTCACAATACCCTCACCCACCTCCTCCTCTCTGTGTGTGTGTACACTCATACCTCAATAACTTGCTTCAACTCTAACACAACACCTAGTTCATTTTAATGGAGCAACGTTTACGTTTCTGTAAATCAAAGCTTCAATAAATTGAATTTAAATTGCGTAAAAAATCATTAAGGCTGTAATTCATTAAATATTAAAAAGCAGTTTACCTAATATTTTATTGTTAAATTGATTTGTGGTCATTTACATTCTTTAAAAAATATCAGAAACACAATCTGGCAAAGAATATTAAATTATTTCACAAGCTTTTTTCCTTCAGTACACCTTGAGGGGTGCACAACCTCACCTAATACCACCTTGAGGGTGCACAACCTCACCTAATACAATAAATGTTTGAAGGAGTGGAGGAGAATGAATTTAGAGATATACCATAACATGTGAAATCATTAGAAAGAACATAGAGAAAGTAAGACTCAAAATCCCCAGGTGTGGGTGGCATACAATCCAAAGTCTTAAAGGAACTGGCAGAAGAAATATGTCCACCGCTGAAATGACTTCACAAAATCTCTGGACGAATGGGCTACATTGGAAATGTGCAAAAATCAGCCATATTTTCTAAAAGACAGAAAGAGCTCAGCAGAAAGTTAGCGGCCGGTCAGTTATACATCACACATGTACAAGCTCACGGAGACAGTCCTCAGGGAGGAAATCATTCACCATCTTTATGTGAACAATCTTGTACACTCAACACAACATGGGTTTGTTAAGAACAGATCCTGCCTTACCAACCTGCTCACAGTGTTGGAAACTGTCACCAGCTACTGGGACAAAGACCTTCTGCTGGATGTAGTGTACATGGAGTTTACTGAAGCTTTTGATAAGGTGCCACATGGAAGACTGGCAAGTAAACTACAGCCACATGGCATAAATGGCAACATATTACAATGGCTAAAACAATGGTTGAAGGAAAGAAAACAAATGGTCGTGCTAAATGGAAACTAATCTGAATGGAGAAATGTGATTAAGTGGGGTGCCACAAGGGTCCATTTTGAGACCTACCCTTTTGTTATATACATCAGTAACATAGACGAGAATCTTACAAACCACATCATCAAATTTGCAGATGACAAAGATTTATGGTGAAGTGGGAAATAATAATGATATTGAAGCCTTACAAAGAGAGCTACATGAACTCCACAAATGGTCAGAAGACCGGCAAATGCTTTTTAATAGTGACAAATACAAGACTATGCATGTGGGGCATAACAACCCACGCCACAACTACCACATTAATAACATTACATTACAGCAGACTGATGAAGAACAGGACTTTGGAGAAAAGATCCACCACTCATTAACAGTTGCACAACAGGTGGGTGCAGCAGTCAGAAAAGCTAACCAAATAATTGGGATAACCAAGCGTACTTTTGACTAGAAGGAAAAGAAGGTAATGATTCAACTGTATAAACCTCTGGTGCAAATAAAACACCGTGCAACAAAAGTCAGTCCAGAGCCAAGTCATCTCTTGTATCAGGAACGTTGGAAGGCCACAGAGCTAACACTGCAAACCAGACATGACAGAGCAGATCTCATTGAAACTTTTAAAATACTTAAGTTAGAGGATGTTGATCCAGATATTTTCTTCAGGTCAGATGTACCACAAACAAGGAGCAATGGTTTCAAGCTCAACACGCCACAATGTAACACTGAGAACGGAGAGGCTTTTCATCCACTGGGTTATTAACCCATGGAACCGCCTACCCGCCGACGCCATAACTGCCAAAACTGAGCCGTTTCAAAATATACCTGGAAAAGATCAAGGCAAATGGGGGGGGGGGAAACTTTGACAAGCCGCCGAATTTCTGTCCTCGTCGAGGCCGCTAGGGTTAGTGGCCCTCAGGTAAACCTGGTAGTAATATCTTGAGGAGAGCACAACTTTGTCTAATAATAATTAGATGTTTTACAGTCACGGTAAAACAACATTTGAGGAAACATTTACACTATATTGAGTGCTGGCCCTGGCTGGACCACCTTACCTGCTCTCACCAAGCACACACTACAAGTACTTTGTAAGAATTCACCTCTCACTTAAGTTAGTCTTTAGTCTGTATGTGTATGAGAGAGTCGGGAGGGAGGTAGCGAGGAAGAGGGGGTGAGACAGACACCTGGGGTAGACGGGGCCGTGTGTGTATAGTAGTGTAAGAGTGGACAGACCCCTGGGGTAGACGGGGCCGTGTACGTATAGTAGTGTAAGAGTGGACAGACACCTGGGGTAGACGGGGCCGTGTACATATAGTAGTGTAAGAGTGGACAGACACCTGGGGTAGACGGGGCCGTGTACGTATAGTAGTGTAAGAGTGGACAGACACCTGGGGTAGACGGGGCCGTGTACGTATAGTAGTGTAAGAGTGGACAGACACCTGGGGTAGACGGGGCCGTGTACGTATAGTAGTGTAAGAGTGGACAGACACCTGGGGTAGACGGGGGCCGTGTACGTATAGTAAGTAAGTAATTATCAAAAGAAGGCACCAAACCGGGAAGGCTATGTAGCACCATCAAATGTGCAGAATAATCAGAGGGCGCTAAATATCACCAAGGATGCCAATACGGGAACAAAAACGCATAAGGCGAACGATATCAAAAGCATCCGAGTCACCAAGAATTCTATTGAGGGACAAGTGACCGCAAGGGGCGGTCGGAAAGCAAGACACATGCTCGTCCTGAAAGTCAGGACATTCAAGAAGGACATGCACGACCGTAAGAGGGACAATGCAACTAGGACAATAAGGAGCACGGCGGCGCTCCATCAAGTGACCATGGGTTAAGCGAGTATGGTCAATACGCAACCTCGCCAGAGCCGTTTCCCAACGCCGATTACGGTGGTAGGAGGACGGCCACGAGGAAACACAACACTTAAGAGTACGTAGTTTGTTACCAGTAACAGACGACCAAGAAGCCTGCCAACGGGTAAGGACGGAGGAATGGATAACCGGGTAAAAGTCGGAATATGGAATACCTTTACGAGAGATGGGACAAGAGCGGACAGCTTCCTTGGCGGCAGCATCCGCACGCTCATTTAAAGACACACCAATATGGCTGGGAACCCAACAAAACTCAACCGACTTAAATTTACTGTGAACAAGAAACAGCCAATGCTGGATCTCGACAACTACTGGATGAACCGGATTAAAGGACCCGAGAGCCATGAGGGCACTACGAGAGTCAACAACAACTACAAAGGAAGACTGACAACAAGAAAGCAGGAGACGAAGAGCATAGAGAATAGCATAAAGCTCTGCTGTAAAGATGCTAGTCTCCGGAGGTAAGCGACACATATAAGTGCGATCAGGAAAAACAACAGAGTAGCCAACACCATCCGCAGACTTAGACCCATCGGTGAAGACAGAAACGGAGCGGGAGTGAGAAGAAAAGTGCTCGAGGAAAAGGCGTTTTAGAACCGTAGGAGGGGTAAAAGCTTTAGTGATACGGGTCAAGGAAGTACAAAACCGCGGAAGAGGGACTCTCCATGGGGGCAAAGAAGGAACAACACGAGGAGAAACATCAGAAATACGAACGGAAAGAGAATCCTGTAGGGGAGATAACCGGACAGAAAGAGGGAGGTGGTGAAGAGGAACAGGAACCGCAGGAGGGGTAAAAGTTAAAGCACGACAGAGGCGAGAGGAAGGATGTTGCAAGGACCGCGCAAGATAGCGAAGACAGTAGCGATCACGGCGGTCCTGGAGAGACAGGAAGCCAGTGTCAACATACAAGCTAAGGATGGGAGTCGAACGAAAGGCACCAGAACTGAGGCGCAACCCAGTATGGTGCAAAGCATCAAGACGGCGAAGAGTAGAAGGAGAAGCAGACGAGTAAGCAGGGCACCATAATCGAGCTTAGACAGGACGAGAGAGGAATGTAAAGCAAGGAGAGTGCGCCTATCTGCTCCCCAAGAAATATGGGACAAGACCCGAAGGAGGGTAAGGACCTTAGAGCACTCAACACGGAGGTAAGAGATATGGGGAGACCAAGACAAACGAGTGTCAAGGAATAACCCCAAAAGCTTCGCGGAATCTTTGTATTCAAGGGAATGACCATAAAGTGACAAAGAGGGACGAAGAACGACCCGTTTCCGCGTAAAAGTGATGGCACAAGTCGTACGTATAGTAGTGTAAGAGTGGACAGACCCCTGGGGTAGACGGGGCCGTGTACGTATAGTAGTGTAAGAGTGGACAGACCCCTGGGGTAGACGGGGCCGTGTACGTATAGTAGTTTAAGAGTGGACAGACACCTGGGGTAGACGGGGCCGTGTGTGTATAGTAGTGTAAGAGTGGACAGACACCTGGGGTAGACGGGGCCGTGTACGTATAGTAGTGTAAGAGAGGACAGAGAGGGACGGCCTGGACTACCTGTTGAGACGGATGACGGTCTCCGTGCGCCTGACCATCAACGCCTGCTGCCAGTACGACACCGCTGAAGGCATTACATTCTCCTGCAACAATAACAATAATATAATCTCAACTTTCAACACCTCCAAAACGTTGTTTTGTATTAATTCCTAACAGATATACAAGGCCAAAATATGCAGGAATCTATGGTTGGGTAGCCAACTAGGTAATTAACTATTGTTATTACACAAACTAGCCTTAACACACAAGCTAATATAACCTCGAACCATTTTAACGGGTCAAAAATACTCACGTGTATCAGGTCATATTTTTCCCGGGACAACCTGAAAACAAGAGAAGAACATTAAAACACAGTTAAACGCCCAACATTTTCCAGTGCTCGATAAACAAAATCCAGAGTCCTGGTTCTACCACCACTTTTACTACCATTTATAATCTCTCCCAGCAGTGTGGAGCTCCAACACAGCCCGGGCCACCAGTGTGGAGCTCCAACACAGCCCGGGCCACCAGTGTGGAGCTCCAACACAGCCCGGGCCACCAGTGTGGAGCTCCAACACAGCCCGGGCCACCAGCGTGGAGCTCCAACACAGCCCGGGCCACCAGTGTGGAGCTCCAACACAGCCCGGGCCACCAGCGTGGAGCTCCACACACACCCGGGCCACCAGTGTGGCCTCCAACACAGGGCCACCAGCGTGGAGCTCCAGCGACACAGCCCGGGCCACCAGCGTGGAGCTCCAACACAGCCCGGGCCACCAGCGTGGAGCTCCAGCGACACAGCCCGGGCCACCAGTGTGGAGCTCCAGCTACACAGCCCGGGCCACCAGCGTGGAGCTCCAGCGACACAGCCCGGGCCACCAGTGTGGAGCTCCAACACAGCCCGGGCCACCAGCGTGGAGCTCCAGCGACACAGCCCGGGCCACCAGCGTGGAGCTCCAGCGACACAGCCCGGGCCACCAGCGTGGAGCTCCAGCGACACAGCCCGGGCCACCAGCGTGGAGCTCCAGCGACACAGCCCGGGCCACCAGCGTGGAGCTCCAGCGACACAGCCCGGGCCACCAGTGTGGAGCTCCAACACAGCCCGGGCCACCAGCGTGGAGCTCCAGCGACACAGCCCGGGCCACCAGCGTGGAGCTCCAGCGACACAGCCCGGGCCACCAGCGTGGAGCTCCAGCGACACAGCCCGGGCCACCAGTGTGGAGCTCCAGCGACACAGCCCGGGCCACCAGCGTGGAGCTCCAGCGACACAGCCCGGGCCACCAGCGTGGAGCTCCAGCGACACAGCCCGGGCCACCTGCTGGATGTGGGAGTTCGTGTACTCCCTAAACAAGCTTCCTAAGCCAGGAGTCAACAAGTATTTACACATCTACTTAGGAACCTCTACGTCTTTTCTCAACCTTTGGCGGTATTGTTTACATATATCAAACAGTTTACGAGCATCGAAACTTGCCAGTCAACTGTTGTGACTGTCATAAACAACATCCTGGTGCTTTGGACCTCAAACTGTTTAATACATGTAAACAAAGCCACCAAACATTGAGAAAGATGAACAGGTTCGTAAGTAGATGTGTAAATGGAGCCCGTCCTAGCATACAAAGATCCAAGCTCGTTAATCCAGCCGCCAAACCCCCGTTTATGAATGAAAAACGGTTTACACACGACTCACAACTGATGACGTCCGAACACTTCCGGAACATGTACTTTGCTGACAATTTTTGTTCGAACTACTACGCTGTACACACTTCACCCTCGTACCCACCCCGTCCTCGACTCTAGTCCACTACATCTTGAGGTTATCTTGAGATGATTTCGGGGCTTTAGTGTCCCCGCGGCCCGGTCCTCGACCAGGCCTCCACCCCCAGGAAGCAGCCCGTGACAACTCCCAGGTACCTATTTACTGCTAGGTAACAGGGACATTCAGGGTGAAAGAAACTTTGCCCATTTGTTTCTGCTTCGTGCGGGAATCGAACCCGCGCCACAGAATTACGAGTCTGCGCGCTATCCACCAGGCTACGAGGCCCCACATCCACCGGTCCATCCCACAGACGCAGTCAAAGTTTTCAAAACGGGAATTTTCTAGAATATAAACTAATAGTATAATATATTAGCATATTGTGCATATATATAGACATAAATTAGGTTAAGTTTTTAGGTTCTGTTGGCGATTATTTGTATGTGTAATAGGTGAGTAAAGCATTTACAGCGTTGTGGTTCGAAAAATTTAGGTCATCCCAAACAATGGGATGACCTAATAAACAAAATTCAAGTCGACTACAGAAACCCGGGAAAGTTCTGGAAAAAAGTAAAGACCGTGATGGGAAGCTCTTCTGAGGAAACACCCAACATCATAGACGCCTCAGGGAATAAACTCTATGAGGAGAGAGAACAAGAGCAGGAATTCAGGAAGTTCTGGGAAAAAATATTCAGGATAAACCCGGAAGAAAATTTAAATTTTTGCCCAATTAATGAAAGGGACATTACAACTCAAGTCGATAACAGAGCTGCAGCACTACTCCCGACGCAAACAATAGACCTTAACAACATACGCGATGACTGCCACCTTATGAAACACATAACCATTACAGAGGTCCATAAAACAATTATGGGTTTCAAGAACAAGGCGCCGGGCAACAGCAAGATAAATAAGATGGTATTATCCAACCTACCAGTGATTGCACTCCATCAGTACACATGTATCTTAAATGCAGCTCTTGCATCTGGACTATTCCCCACATACATCAAGAATGCCACATAAGATTAATCCCCAAGCCAGGTAAACCCCCAACCCAAACTGAAAACTACAGGCCAATTTCCCTCCTCGAAGAACCAGGTAAAATATTCGAAAAAATTATCAGAGACTTGTGAAGTACATGGAAGAGGAAGGGAAGTATAACACCAGGCAGCATGGGTTTAGAAACCGCAGAGGGGCCCATACAGCTATAGCCCTGATCTACCAACATATAGCCAACGCAGTGTCGAAAAAAGATCAGTGTAATATAGTGCTTAGGGACGTCTCGAAAGCCTTCGACAAAGTGTGGCACACAGGCCTAAAATATAAGATATCTGAACTAGGACTTCCTGAGAGATTTACTGCTACTCTCTGCAGCTTTATAGACAATAGAACTGCTAGGCTAAATATCGGCAGCTACTTGGGTGACGTAATAGAACTGAAAAGTGGAGTACCACAAGGAAGCTGCCTCTCCCCCTCTCTATTCAACATATATACAGCTGACCTACCCCAACCCCAACATGGAGAATACATCACATACGCTGACGATGTCACCCAAATAATATGCCAACCGGGCCCATCAAAGCCGCTACTAGTCGACAAGACCAAGGTGGCAATTGAACTCATAAACAACTTTGAGAAACAATGGAAAATTAGCACCAACAAACAAAAGTGTCAGATAATACACATTGCGAAAAGAAACCCGGACCCCATCATCCTTGACAACCAGTCGATCCAATATGCGGAGGTAGGCAGAATATTGGGACTTATGATAAATAGAACAGGGATACAAATTCATGTAAGGGACCGACTAAACAAAGCCAAAGCAGCATTAGGAAAACTGAGAAGATTCCGAAGCCTCAGTACTAACATTCAGATCCACCTATATAAGGCTCTAGTTCGGCCGCATCTAGAGTATCCCCCAGTACCACTACACACCATAAAGAAAACTGACATGCAGAAACTGCAAGCAGTACAAAATAAGGCGCTAAGGAGAGCAGCAAAACACCGTCCACCATATGATCAGACAATCCAGGAGCTCCACGAACTGAACATACAGCCACTAAACATCAGACTGCAGCACCAAGCCATCAGGGTATGGAACACCATCGAAATGTTAGAGGACCCAATGTTAGAAAGATTACTCGAAGATGAGACGCCCCGCTCCCACAGCTGGTGGCCCAAGAGCCTCGATTCTCTGGACGAAAACCCCGCCCCACAGTATGCAATCCCCAGATGAGATATGTGTGTGTATATATGAACAGTTCACATGTGTATATATGAACAACTCGATAAACAATAATGTGTGTATGAACAACTCGATAAATAATAATAATAAAAAAAGAGCCTTAAACAGAACAACATGTGTGGAAGCATCGGAGTGTGTATATATGAATGCTACACAGTATTCATCTATAGACATCCACATATGGTGAAACACAAGTGAAGAACCTCTCACACACTCACAGCTCCCTGACAAGAGGGAGCCAGCTTAGCTTAGCTGCCAACACCCACACATCGTGTCAGCAAGGCGGACAGCCCGCCTGCTTTCATACCTCTCACTGTATTTCCCACTTCTAAACTTCCCTTCACCTATGCCTCTCCTTCCTCTTTACTTAAAAAAAGGGGGGGTGGTAGGACAATACACAGTGGGTGTGGTGAGGGCGTAGCAGTGTCCGGGAGGGGGCGTGGCAGTGTCCGGGAGGGGGCGTGGCAGTGTCCGGGAGGGGGCGTGGCAGTGTCCGGGAGGGGGCGTGGCAGTGTCCGGGAGGGGGCGTATCAGTGACCGGGAGGGTGCGTGGCAGTGACCGGAGGGGGCGTGGCAGTGACCGGGAGGGGGCGTGGCAGTGACCGGGAGGGGGCGTGGCAGTGTCCGGGAGGGGGCGTGGCAGTGTCCGGGAGGGGGCGTGGCAGTGACCGGGAGGGGGCGTGGCAGTGACCGGGAGGGGGCGTGGCAGTGACCGGGAGGGGGCGTGGCAGTGTCCGGGAGGGGGCGTGGCAGTGTCCGGGAGGGGGCGTGGCAGTGTCCGGGAGGGGGCGTGGCAGTGTCCGGGAGGGGGCGTGGCAGTGTCCGGGAGGGGGCGTGGCAGTGTCCGGGAGGGGGCGTGGCAGTGACCGGGAGGGGGCGTGGCAGTGACCGGGAGGGGGCGTGGCAGTGACCGGGAGGGGGCGTGGCAGTGACCGGGAGGGGGCGTGGCAGTGACCGGGAGGGGGCGTGGCAGTGACCGGGAGGGGGCGTGGCAGTGACCGGGAGGGGGCGTGGCAGTGACCGGGAGGGGCGTGGTAGTGACCGGGAGGGGGCGTGGCAGTGACCGGGAGGGGGCGTGGCAGTGTCCGGAGGGGGCGTGGCAGTGTCCGGAGGGGGCGTGGCAGTGACCGGGAGGGGGCGTGGCAGTGTCCGGAGGGGGCGTGGCAGTGTCCGGGAGGGGGCGTGGCAGTGTCCGGGAGGGGGCGTGGCAGTGTCCGGGAGGGGGCGTGGCAGTGTCCGGGAGGGGGCGTGGCAGTGTCCGGGAGGGGGCGTGGCAGTGTCCGGGAGGGGGGCGTGGCAGTGTCCGGGAGGGGGCGTGGCAGTGTCCGGGAGGGGGCGTGGCAGTGTCC